GGCAGGCAGCAGCGCGGTAACAGGGGGCACCCTCCTCGCCGCTCGGGGGGCTCCCCGCCCGCCGCTCGCGCCTCGGCTCGCAGCCGCTCTCGGGGCCGCGGTCCGCGCGTAGGCTCCGAGCCTCCGCGGCCCTTGCTCCCGCCGCCGCCTCCGCCCCCTCGCCCTTCAGACAGGCGAGAGGCGTCGCGCTCCAGGGACGCCCGCGGCTCCCCCCGCGCGCCCTCGCGACAGGTGACGTCGCCTCGGCGTCGCGAGGCGCGCGCCCCTCGGGTCGCTCCGAAGCGGCGCCCGAGCCCAGCTACGGCGCCTCGGCAGGCCGCGCCCCGCCAGGGTGCGAGCTCGGGCGGCGCCCACGCAGGCAGCTACCGCGCGGGCCCCGCTGCTCAGGCCCCCCCGTCCTCGGTAGGCACGCGCTCCTCCAGCGATGCTGCTGCGGCCCCGCAGGGCGGAGGGCGTGCCGCCGAGGAACGGGGGTCTTCGAGCGGCCTCGCGCCTGGCCGGGGCTCGGGGCGCGAGCTGCATCCCAGCGGCACCCACAGCGGCGACCCCGGGAGCGCCGCGGCTGCAGCCTTCGCAGCGCGGCGCACGGCTTCCGAGGCCGTCGAGCAGCCCTTGCCCACTCTGACTCAGGGGAGTGCGGCCCCACTGTCCCCTATCTCGGATTCCCGCGTTCCGCGTCTGAACTTCCCTCACCTGTCCGCCGACGAAGCGGCGCGCCTGGGCCTGCAGGCGCCGACCGTCGAGGCCATCTTGGCCAGGGCCCCTGGGCCCCCTCAACGCGTCCAGACCTGCGCTCTGGTTCCTGCCTCCGCCCTAGTAGCGGCTTGGGGGAACAGGCGGGGCAGTGGCGCCTCGACGCAGCCGCCCGCTGCTCTCTCCCCGAGCATCCTGCCGCCCCTGGGGTTGGCCAGTCTCGATGAGGGCGCAGGCTCCGCCGAGGTGGCCGCAGGTGACGTCAGGGGAGCTTGCGCCGAGGCTCCCCAGAGGACCCTGCATCTGGCCCTCGAGTGCCTCCTTATGGCGCTCGAGCAGGGCGCAAGCTCCGCCGAAGTGGCCGCAGGGGACGTCATGGGAGCGTGCGCCGAGGCTCCCCAGACGACCCTGAATCGGGCCCTCGAGCGCCTCATTTTGGCGCTTCGGCAAGGCGCAAGCTTCGCCAAGGTGGCCGCAGGGGACGTCATGGGAGCGTGCGCCGAGGCTCCCCAGACGACCCTGAATCTGGTCCTCGAGTGCATCCTTCTGGCGCTTCAGCAGGGGAGCCACGTTTCACGACACTGGCTTAAGTAGCGGCCAGATTGTTCAGCCGACGACGCTGCGTCGGCCAGAGCAGGGGGGTAAGCATTTGGACTTCACCGATCCGCTCCCGCCCTGCGCGCGTTGCGGCTTCCGTACTCGGTGAAACTATTTGCTTTCGGCTATTGGCGTGCTGATCGTCTAAACGGCCTTCTCGCCCCCCTACGAGCTGTCCGCTCTCCCTGAGCCCCCTTTGTGCTCAGGTCGCCTGTCGTACTGTCAGTTGCGACCTCTGTCGCTGCCCGCCCGCGACGTCCTTGTCGCTTCCCTTCTAGGGGTCGGCCCTGCTGTATGGACCACCCGTCTATCGGCCGCCCGCCGAAACCTTGTCACTGCGCAAGGGCTTTGAGCATGGGTATGGCTGCATCGCCGTTTACGGCGACCAGGCGGACTCCACCGCCTGAGGCGGCGCCCCGGCTCGGGCGCGCGGGGCGGGCCTGCCCATTTTGGGCCGTTCCGCGCGCGCGGCGCCGCGGCCCCGCACGGAGACAGCTCGCTTGCGCGCGAGCGGGAGAATGCTCCTCTCTATTCTCCTTGCGACCCGCGCTCTTGCTGTCTCTGCAGCTTCTCAGCCCCCCTCCCTCCTCTCCCTCATCTTGGCTGATGTGGCGCTGCATCGCCGTTTACGGCGACCAGGCGGACTCCACCGCCTGAGGCGGCGCCCCGGCTCGGGCGCGCGGGGCGGGCCTGCCCATTTTGGGCCGTTCCGCGCGCGCGGCGCCGCGGCCCCGCACGGAGACAGCTCGCTTGCGCGCGAGCGGGAGAATCATCATCATCATCATCATCATCATCATCGTCATCAGCATCAGCATCTGCATCATCATCATCGTCATCACCCACCATCATCGTCATCATCACCATCATCGTCACACCTCTCACACGCTTCGTGGCCCCATAGGGAGCTCCACCGAAGGCCCCAGTGCTGCCGCCCGCATGCGTCAGCCATTCCCAAGTCGGCATACCCCTCACACGTTTCGTGGCCCCATAGGGAGCTCCACCGACGGCCCCAATGCTGCCGCCCGCATGCGTCAGCCACACCCAGTTCGGCACACCCCTCACACGTTTCGTGGCCCCATAGGGAGCTCCACCAAAGGCCTCAGTGCCGCCGCCCGCATGCGTCAGCCACACCCAATTCGGCACACCCTTCACACGTTTCGTGGCCCCATAGGGAGCTCCACCGAAGGCCCCAGTGCTGCCGCCCGCATGCGTCAGCCACACCCAATTCGGCACACCCCTCACACGTTTCGTGGCCCCATAGGGAGCTCCACCGAAGGCCCCAGTGCTGCCGCCCGCATGCGTCAGCCACACCCAATTCGGCACACCCCTCACACGTTTCGTGGCCCCATAGGGAGCTCCACCGAAGGCCCCAGTGCCGCCGCCCGCATGCGTCAGCCACACCCAATTCGGCACACCCCTCACACGTTTCGTGGCCCCATAGGGAGCTCCACCGAAGGCCCCAGTGCTGCCGCCCGCATGCGTCAGCCACACCCAGTTCGGCACACCCCTCACACGTTTCGTGGCCCCATAGGGAGCTCCACCGAAGGCCCCAGTGCTGCCGCCCGCATGCGTCAGCACACCCAATTCGGCACACCCCTCACACGTTTCGTGGCCCCATAGGGAGCTCCACCGTGCAATGCGTCACCCACGTGCGTGGCCCCATAGGGAGCTCCACCGAAGGCCCAATGCGTCAGCCACACCCATTCGGCACACCCCTCACACACATGCGTGCGTCAGCCACACCCAATTCGGCACACCACACGTTTCGTGGCCCCATAGGGAGCTCCACCGACCCAGTGCTGCCGCCCGCATGCGTCAGCCACACCCAATTCGGCACACCCCTCACACGCTTTCGTGGCCCCATAGGGAGCTCCACCGAAGGCCGCAGTGCCGCCGCCCGCATGCGTCAGCCACACCCAATTCGGCACACCCCTCACACGTTTCGTGGCCCCAGCCCGCATGCGTCAGCCACACCCATTTCGGCACACCCCTCACACGTTTCGTGGCCCCATAGGGAGCTCCACCGAAGGCCCCAGTGCCACCGCTCGCATGCGTCCCGCACACCCATTTCGGCACCTCCACCAAACACAGCGTTTCGTGGCCCCACAGGGACCTCCACCGAAGGCCCCAGTGGTGCCGCCCGCATGCGTCACCCCCACCCCAGCACAGCATTTCGTGGCCCCACAGGGAGCTCCACCGAAGGCCCCAGTGGTGCCGCCCGCATGCGCCACCCCCACCCAGCACAGCGTTTCGTGGCCCCACAGGGAGCTCCACCGACGGCCCCAGTGGTGCCGCCCGCATGCGTCACCCCCGCCCAGTACAGCGTTTCGTGGCCCCACAGGGACCTCCACCGAAGGCCCCAGTGGTGCCGCCCGCATGCGTCACCCCCACCCAGCACAGCGTTTCGTGGTCCCACAGGGAGCTCCACCGAAAGCGGCACCCGCAATGCGATATTCACAACTGCACATGGTTGGGTCCTTCGCCAGGATAATTTTAACTCGAAAAAGAAGTAAACGGCATAAACGTAAACTGTCGGAATTCCTCACGGATTTCTTGGAAGTGTGATGGAGCCCCCTGGCGGCGCCTCCAGCGCCGCCCCTCGCGCGATACCCGCACCAGAGAGGGGGGTCCAGCGCGGATCCAATAAGTCCGCGCGGAGTTCCAACAGTTTATGTTTATGCCGTTTATTATGATTCGTTGTTCGCTGCGTCCAGCCGTTACGATGAACACCTCCCGACGACCTACCACAGACCCCTGACGTCATCTTTTTGTTCGCGACGTGGACCCCCGGAGGTTTCGACCCACTCCCAGGCACCAGCTTTTCATTCTGGGTCGTTGTCTGACGGTCTGGAGGCCCGGCGAGGGCCCACAAACGGCAAGCCAAAATATAAAGGAAAGTGGTGTCGTGATTGGGAAGGCCTCGCGGCTGGTGCCGCCGACCCTGAAGGGGGACGACGGCGACGACGACGACGACGACGACGACGACGACGGCGGCGGCGGCGGCGGCGCTGACGTGGGGCAGAGTTCCCAGGGATGCTTCGTGGGGCCTTTTCGGAGCGCGCTCGTAGGCCTCTGGGCGACAGCTTTGGGGCGTCGCGCTTCTTCCCCCTACGCGAGCATGTCTGGGGCGACGGTGAAGCCTACCACCCCACGCTGGTGGACCCGCTGCTCGGCCGCAGCTGCGCGTACCCCCACATTGCTCCCGCGCTGGCCTGCATGGTCTCATCGGGCCCCCGTCCTTTCCTCCTTGCTCTTCGCGCCTCTCTTCGCCGGTGCCTCCTTGCCTCCCTGCCCCCTTCCTTCGCCTTGCCTCCTTGCCTCCTTGCTCTTCGTGCCTTCCTTCGCCTTGCCTCCTTCCTTTCCCCCCGTGCCTCCTTGCCTCCCTGCGCTTCGTGCCTTGCTTCGCCGGAGCATCCCACCGCTCGCTTCGACTGGCGCCCGACCGTCTCGCACACCCTTGCTTGGCGGCGCGCGCATGGGTGCAGGGGGAGGGGGGGAGGCTTCTTGGAGGCACTCCTGCTTCTCAGAAGGCGCGGGCCCTGTCTACAGATGTAAGGCCCGAGCCTTCTCAGAGGCAGCCTCCTTCTAAGAATCCTTCCCCCCCTCCCCTCTGCCCCCCTTCTGCGCGCCGCCAAGTTGTGCCCGCAGCACTGCAAAGTCTGGGGCGCCGTCGCGCTCGTCGTCGTCGCCGCGCCTCCTGCGCCCCCAAGGCGGCGAGGAGCCTGCGCGCAGCCGAGCCCCCAGACGCGAAGGACGGCCTCGGGTCCGCCATGCTGGTGGTGGCAACCCTCGGCATGGCCCTGAACGGCTCCCCGGGAGGAGGAGGAGGAGGAGGAGGAGGAGGAGGAGGAGGAGGAGGAGGAGGAAGAAGAGCTTTGTCGGCGAGCCGGCTCGCAGAGTGCAGCGGGGAGGTGGGGTCGTCCAGAGGCCTCTGGCCGCGAGGTGCCGCCCTTGGGGGTGTGCTGTCGCAGCGTCGGATCTTGGGGCCGTCCTGCTCGGCATCCTGGGAGGCCCCCGTCGCCACCAGATCTCGGGTTCCCGGCTCACGTTCCCGATCCCGGGCCGCAGGTCGGAGCCCTCTCGGGCCGTCTGGGCCGCCTCGGCGGCGCTCGTGAAGCCTATCGGGCCGTCTCGGGGCGCGTCTGAGGCCTGGTGGGCTGGGCTCGCGTCGAACTTCCTGGCCAGGACGCACCCTGGGAGAGGTCTGGGGAGTAGCGGCATCGAGATGCCTTTTACGGCGGCGTGCCCAGGGGGAAAGGTGAGCAAGAGGAGGCCTTCTCAGAAGGCGGCGGGGCTTCTCAGAAGCCCTCCGGCCTTCTGAGAAGTTCCCTCCGTCCTCAGGAACGGCCTCGAACACTTGTCAAAAGGCAGGGGGACTTCCGAGCCTTCTGAGAAGGCCCACCCCTTCTCACACTTCATCCCAGGCGCGCCGCCGACACGATTCAGAGGAGGATAAGGTGAGCACCGATACCGCTACCCTTCCTTCGTTTTCGCCTTGTTGGGCCTCTTGCGATGCCCTCGTCGTCACCGCTGGATTCGCCTCGGAATTCAAGCGCGAGCGCACCCTGGGAGAGGTCCGGGGAGTAGCGGTATCTGTATCGCTTGGATTCCCCCTCAAAAATGTAATTTTCGGAGGCAGATGCGGTCGGTTGGTTGGCGTGTCGCGCCGCTGGTTTTGGTTCGCCACGTTTCGCCGCGACGCGCTGACCAGCTCCTTACTCCCGCGCGTCAGCGTCCCGAGCATTTCTGAGCCTCCCACCTCGCGGAGCGGGGCGACACGCTTGCCATACGTAGCGTGTCGCCAGCGCCGCTGCCGCTACACGCCGAGCACAAGTTCCTGACTGTAGAGCCCCCACCCTGCCACGTCTAGTAGCGAGTTGCCCTTTTCCGGTGCTCTGACTGGAGGCCGTGGCGGTTGCAGTTTCTGCAGGCCTGAGCCCGCCGGGTCTTGTCCACGGTCGTTTCATCAAGGGCCTGGCTGCCTCGATACGCCCGTTTTGAAACGCAACACGTACGGTGCTTAAAACGTCCGTGTCTACGTTGCGTGTCGGCTCAGCGTAGTGGCCCACGGTTTGTCGAACGTATCGCGGCATACCTATCTTTTCAGTGTACGTGTTGAGCTTCGTATCTTTACGTTACGTGTTGCGTGTTGCGTGTAAGGGCAGCCAAGCCAAAGCTCTTGGGGGCCTCTTGGAGCCTCGCGGGGGACGACGACGACGACGACGGCGACGGCGACGACGACGACGACGAGCGCTCTCGGGGGCCTCTTGGGGGTAGTTCCAGAGCCTCCTGGGAGGCTCTTGGGGGCCTCTTGGGAGCCTCGCGGGGGCCTCTGGGGGCCTCTTGGGGATCTCTTGTGCATGTCATGTGTGTATGTGTGGTGTGTGTATGTTTGTGCGTGTGGCCTGTTGTGTGTAGTGTTTGTATGTATGCATGTGCGTGTGTGTGTGGGTATGTGACGTCATTTCTATGCTCACGCGTACCGTAGCATTACACGCCGAATTCACTCTTCGGCGCGTCGGGGAAAGATATGTGCGTATAGTGAGGCAGCGATTATCACATCCCCCCGTTCCCCCCCTGGAGCGCATTCGCCATGCGCGCGGCTGCCATGCACGCCTCCGTCTCCAGCTAGCGTGCGCAGAGCTCGTGTTGCGCATCGCCAGAGGAAGACAGATTTCGAAGCAGTGACCCGCTCGCGCGACTCGTTCTTCAAGGTGCATGATTTATACGTCACTTACTATGGAACGTGAGTCTAGATATTACTTAGAGGTACAGTAGTTCTAGTACGCTGCACAATTGCATTTCACTTGCAATGAAATGTCATTCGGCATTCGGTGAAAACTTGGAATACCAAGTATATGTCTGAAGAGAATGAGCCTGGTGCGCATCGCCGAGCGTGAGCCCGACCACGAGCGAAGAGGGGTCAGAGCCATCCCCTGCAGGTGCCAGCCGAATCCTGCGCATCCCGCCGTGGCGATTTGACGTCGTTGTCCAACCACTTGCTCACATTACGTGTGTCGGCATGTGTGTGAACTCCACCTTCTACGCCTCGACGTTGCGTGCGAGACCGCGACCACAAACAAAGTGTGTGTGTGTGTGTGCGTGTGTGTGTGTGTGTGGGTGCGTGTGACGCTCCGCTCCGTTCGGCTCTCCTCGACCGCTGTGCCTGCCTCCGCTGCGCCGTTGCGCGCGCGACCGCAGCGCCCAAAAAGCCCTTGCGCGCGTGTGGTTGTGAGTGTGTGTTGTGTGTGTGTGTTCGTGTTTGTGTGTGTGTGTGTGCGCACGCCTTCGGGCTTCGGCTGCACCACCTCCTAAGCTGTTTTAGTTGCTGCACGCCGACTCGCTATGGCGGCGCTTCAAGTCCAGGTGGCGCTGCAGACTCGATCGGGTTCCGTTCTTGCACTCCCGATGGTGCTCTCACCTTGCGAGGAGGAGGAAGTGTGTGTTGTGCGTGTATGTACGTGAGTGTGTGTATGTGTTTGTTTGTCTGTTTGGCTCTTTGTGTGTGTGTGTGTGTTTGATTGCGCGCATGTGTGTGAATGTGTGGGCGTGTGTGTATTTGACTGTGGTCTTCGCCCCGCAACCATTACACTCTCCCGTGGGTTTCCGTTTGTAGTCACTTTCTTCCGTTGCCGTTCACGACTGCCTCTTTTCCGCGAGTCTTTTCGCAGTGCGGTTCTTTAGCGCGACCGCGACGCCAAAAAGTGTGTTCGGTTGTGTGGGTTTGCTTGTCTGTATGTTTGTGTACGCTTGTTGGTGTATCGCTTGTGTGTGCGTGTGTGTGTGTGTGTGTGCTTGTGTGTGTGCGCGAGTTTGTGCGTTTGTGTGTGTGTGCATGCGTGTGCGCGTGTTTGTGTTTGTGTGCGTGTGCGTGTGCGTGTGTGTGTGTGTATCTGTGTTTGTGCGCTTGTGTGTGTCTGTGTGGGGTCTTTGTGTGCTTTTCCTTCAGCGCTTCGCCGGAGCGTTCTGCCATAACAGAGGCACCAAAATGGACCAAAGAAGACGCCCACAAGGGGGCGACGGAGAGCCTGGGACCGCGACTTCCTGCTCTTCGATCCGCATCACCGCCTTTGCGGCTACTAGGGTGCCTAGCTGTTTTTTTGCTTGTGTGCGGGTGTGCGTATTGTGTGTGTGTGCGTATTGCTTGTGTGCGGGTGTGCGTATGGTGTGTGTGTGCGTATTGTGTGTGTGTGTGTGCGTGTGCGTGTGCGTCTTGTGTGTGTGTGTGTGAGTGTGCAGGTGCCTGTGCTCTTGGGCGTGTGCGTAGCCGTCGACTCGCTGGCCACCAGGCCTCGGCTCGCCGCGCCGACGCCCGAGCACCCCGGCGAGGCCGGACATCCCTTGCCTGGGCGTCGCTGCCCCCGCGGGCCAGCGGCCGCCGTGGCGCGGCCTCGGCCGCGCGGCTGCGCGGCGCGGGGCGGCCGGCTCGGGCGGCCGGGGGCGCCTGCCCGTCGGCCTGGGCCGGCGCTGCCTGCGGGGGGCCGGCGGGCACGGCGGCCAGCCCGCTTAGGGCCCCCGGCGGATCGGGTGTGCCGCTGATGGACTGGGAGTCGCCGGGCGACCGCCGCGTTCCCCCTTCCCCGCCCCGAGCCGCTCCTCTCCCCCCTCTCACCTCTTTCCTTCGTCTCGCCGCGGCGCAGGCTTGTGTGCGCTGGTAGGAAGGTGTGTGTTTGTGGTCCGTGTGTGCGTCTTGTGCATGTGTGCGTGCGGGTGTGTGTGTGTGTGTGTTTGCGCGTGCTTGTTTTTTTTGTGAATGCGTGTGCACGCCGGTCGTTGAAAGTAGGTATTTTTGGATGCCCAAGTCTCAAATCTACTTTAGGGGCCTTTCTAATGTAAGTGTCGAGTGGTGTTTTCTCTTCCCTCCTCTTCAGGGGGCGGGCGGAAGCCCAATCTACCTTCAACGCCTTCCTACTTCATGTTTCTATCTGCGCATGTGTTTGTGTGTTTGGTTGTGTGTTGTATGTTTGGTTGTGTACTTGTGTGCGTGAACGGCCTAGCGCTGTCGGTCTTGCCCTGTCTGCCTGGCTCCACCGTGCCGCTGCGCGCGCGGCCGCGGCGCCAAAATAGTTCGTATTTGTGAGTACGCTTGTGTGTGAGAGAACGTTTGGGTGTATGTGTGTGTCTCGCCACCGACGAAAAAGTGTGTGTGCGTGTGTGCGCACGTTTGTTTGTGATTGTGCGTGTGTTTGTGTGTTGTGTTTTGGTCCGCTCTAGACCACCCTCCCTCTCTGGTGCGTGGAGCGCGCCAGGGGCGGCGCTGGAGGCGCCGGCAGGGGGTCCAGTTCAGATCCAAGATATCCGCGCGGACCTTCGACAGCGTGTGTTTGTGATGGTTTTAGGACGAGGACCTCGCGCTCAAGATGTGGATGGACTCTCAGGAAAAAAAGCGAGGGAACTCCAGGATGCACTCCCAGGGGGGGCTATTCGGACACACCGCATATCGAATGTCCTTGGGATTCCCGCCAACATGAACATTGCGTCGTCGGGCATCCTGCCAAGATGGGGGCTGGGGGGCCCGTCGAATCAGAAACTGGCCCGCCAGCATGTGCCCCACGGAAGTATCCCCTACCCCAATGGCCTTGGGGCGCCTACAGAAGCCTTGAGGCACCTCAGAGGGCTCCAAGCCCGACGGCAAACGTGCCCCTAGATTTCTTATAACAATCGGAGGTGGATAAACCTCCTACCCTGACACGCCGATTAAGGAATTGGCCGTTTTCGGTTCGCGAGAGGGCGTCGCAGCCGTCATTTTTGCGGGTCCAGGTCCGTCGGTTTCGGTCCCAGGCCGTTTTCACTAAGGGGAGGTTTACTGAAGGGAGGTTTGTCCACCGCCGAAACAAGATTTCGTCTCGGACATGTCTACTGCACTCCCCTTCAGACCTGGATATGCGATTCTTTGAGCTCTTCAATGCCGGGCCCTTGGAAATCCCGGCCCGTTCCCGATGGTCGGCTTTTCATCCCCAGGTCCCAGGGCCTGGCGAGGGCCCCAGGATGCCGAGAAACTTACCACACATTTCCCGCCGTGATGACTTCGTTTCACGACGCGGCACGTCTGGGGCAGAGGCTCCCTGCTCGCGCTCAAGATGTGGATGGACTCGCAGCCACTGCAGCCAGAGGCGATCGCCCCTGCGGCCCTGCCGGAGGACGTGCCGCAGGACGCGCCCTCGCGGGAACGCCGGGCCGCTCGCCAGGGCTCAGGCCGCCGCCGCCGCCGCAGCTTGGCCAGACGCGAGAGCGACCCTTCGCCAGAGTGACCTTCCCTGGGATCCGGGCGCTGCAGCTTGTTCACACCCGGTTTCTTCCTCGTTTCGGGTCCCGGGGCCATCACGGATCGATCCAGCTCGGAGAATGCGGCAGGAAGATGGGGTGCAGAGCTCGGGGGATGATTTCTCGCGATGTCGCCATGTTGTCTCAACTCCGGACCTCAGGGCTTGGTGCGGGCCCAAAGGGATATCCCCAGCACTTACTTACCCTCCTGCCTCTGATCCTGCTCGTCCTTCTTCCGTCTGTCGCGCCGCCCCTCGGAGGCCTGGAGGTTGACACCAACACGAACATCGGCGGTGTGCCTCCACCGAGGGAGGATGATCCCGATCTCGGTGATGGCACTCCTGCACTCGGGCTTCCCAGGTGGCCGAAATATTACCACCGACGCCGAAATCCAGGATCCATCCTCCCCCGGTAGAGGCAGCGCCCTGTGTTGGTGTTGGCGCCCAGTTCTAAGACTCCAGGTCCCCCTCTCCCCGGGCTGCCCTCTCCCCTCTCGTGGCCGGCCGGGCACGATGGCTCTGGCGCGTCGGCGTGGGCGGCCGACGCCGCATGTTGCCGGGCCGTCTTGGGGCGTTCAGCTCCTGGTGGTGCTGCACGGACCTGCTGCGCTGTGCAGCAGCTTATTGTTTCGATCCTGCCGCTAGTATAGAAGATAGAAAACCGATACCGTCACACCAGCTGCGCGCGCCCAGTTGAACACTCGTTGCGCTGTTGTTTGATTCCCACATCGAAAAAGACCTGCTACGCTGCGCCGCATGCGCATGCTTGCGCGCTTGGCTTTGCCGCGCACCAAGGATCGCTCTTGCTCAGGACCGCTCTAGCGCAGTAGTCGCCGCCATCGTTCAGGAAGGCCGCGGGCCGAGGATGATTTGGCGTGACAGGAGGTTCGCGCGGATTTCTTGGATCGACGCTGGACCCAGCTCCCAGGCGCGCGGAGCGCGCCAGAGGCAGCGCCGAAGGCGCCGCCTTCTAGCGCCGGTCCACGAAATTCGCGCGCACCTCTAAAAGGCCGTGTTTTCGCCCTCTGGGTATTCGCTGGTAGTCGGAGGCTTCCTGGGACCTCCGTCCCTCTGGAGACGTTCAGGGACCGTCGCCGCCGTCGTCGCCACTTTCGTCATCGTCGCCCAGGGCTCCAGGGTTGCCATGGAGTCGCCAGAAAGGTTTCGACTTTCGAGGCCTTTTGTTGCGAGCGAGGGGTCATTCGACCATGTCCCCCTCTCGAGGCTTCAGCATGTGGAGTTGGGCGAGCTTCCCCCTGCAGAGCTTCCCCGAGCTGCCCTCCCCAGGTTGTCGACAGCCCCTCAGGCACTGGATGTGGCCAGCAGTCCGGAGGTGCTTTCTTGCAGTCAGCAGTCAACTCACATGGCAAGGACGAGCAGCTTTCCAAGGCCACCCAGTCATCCTTGCCTCTTCGGCTCATCCTTAGCGACTTGCGCTGGCCGGCCTCGTTCGAAGAACGTTGACCTGGTCCTCCAAGGCCCTGGCATCCGTACCGCGCATCCTTATCATACATCCTTATCATACGGGTAGACTCCACTAAAAAACACCTCCAGAGACTTCCGCCGGCAGCCTGAGCATAGAAGGGCTGCCGGCGGCTCGGCTGCCCCAGCTGCCGAGGTGGGGGGGGGCGGGCGATACCCAGGCGGGCCTCGGGCCTTGGCACGCCCGTGGCCATTCGTTCCTGGAGGTCCCCATCGAAGGTCCTGAGGGGGTCTGCGCCGAAGAAGAAGAAGAAGAAGAAGAAACACCAACGGCATAAACATAAACTGTTGGCGGTCCGCGCGGAGTTCTTGGCTGCACGCTTGGGCCCCCCCTGGCGGCGCGCGCTCCGCGCGCCAGGGAGGGGGGCCCAGTAAAGTCGACCCGCATAGTAAGGATGGGCAACTGTCCTCAGGGTACCCTTGCATCCTTGCCTCCTCGGTCCATCCTTGGCCACTTTCGCTGGCCGCGCCCCGCCCAGAAAACTTCGAGATGGCCTTCCAAGGCCCTTGCATCCTTACCGCGGATCCTGATGATGCGGGCCGGCTGCACCGCCGAAGGTCCCGAGGGGGCCCGCGGGCGAATGCGTGTGGTCCTCTGCGCCGCGTGCGCGTCCGTCGGCCTCCCCTGGGGCGCCCCTGGGTCGGAGCGCTCTCGCGTCGGCTCGCTCTGGGCTCGCTCGCTCCGTCGGCCGGGGGCGCCGGTGGGCCTCGTGCCTCGCGCGGCGGGGCCCCCCCCCCCCGACGGAACGGGCGCGGGTCGGCCCGGCAGCCCCTCTGCCGGTGCCCCCTCGGGAGTGCCTCGCGGCCGAGCTCGGCGTCCTGGAGGAGCCTCCCCCGGGCCCTCCCTGCCCTCCTGGGCCAAGGTCGGCCCGGCCTGGCCTGAGGACCTGCCCTTTTTTTGGTTGGTTGCCCCTCCTGGAGAGGAGGAACCGTGCGGGGCTCGCTGACGGGTTTGATGATGATGATGATGAGGAGGAGGAGGAGGAGGAGGATTTCTGAGGCATTGTTTGCATGGGCATGTGTTGACCCTTTCGGGCCGGTGTGGTGCTCCCTCCTTCTATCTCCCGCGTTCTCCTCCCGTCGATTCTCCCCCGCTCTCCTCCCTCCTCCTGCTGCTCCTCTTCCTCTTCCTCCGCCTCCTCCTCCTCAGGTTTCTGACATATTGTGCCTTGTGGGCCTTACCCGCAGCAGGCGCCAAGGTGCCGCGCTTCTGCACCCCGGGAGGGGGCGAGAAGGTGCAGATGAGCCTCCACGCCGCGTTCCACCCCGGGTGCCGAGACGACGACGACGCCGACGACAACCAACGACGACGACGACAACCGACGACCGCGACGACGACGACGACGACGACGACGACGACGACGACGACGACGACGACGACGACGACACCGAAGACGACGACGACGACGACGACGACGACGACGACGACGACGACGAGGACGACGACGACGACGACGATGACGACGATCACGACGATATCAACGGCAACGGCAACGGCCACTGCGCCAACGGCGACAGCGACGCGACGGCGACGACGAAGCGCGCGCGCACGTTCTCCCCCGGGTATCGCCGCGATGGGCAGCACTGGGAGAAGGATCGAGGGTTGAAGCGGTTGACATTGGATGTTTTTGTTCTGGGGGGGGGGGGGCTCCAGGCGCGCTCTCGTCGTCACTTCTGGAACCACCCCGAGATTCTGGCCAGGACGCGCTCCAGAATAAGTTCGGCCGCCCATTCTTGAAACACGATGAGGAGGAGGTGGAGGAGGAGGAGGAGGAGGAGGAGGTTCGAGGCCGAGGTTCATGGTTTTGTGTGAATATTTGGCCCTGGGGGCGAGGCGGAGAGAATGTTAGAGGAGGAGGAGGAGGAGGAGGAGAAGGAGGGGAGGAGGGGGGAGGAGGGAAAAGGAGGGAGGAGGAGGATGGAGGAGGGAAGAGGACGACGAGGGAGGAGGTCAGAGGGGGGAGGGAGTTGTAGAGGGGGAGGTGCCAAGACGGGCAGTGCGCGCTTGGCGCCGAGCACAACCTCAACGTGTACGGCGTGGTCCTCCACGTCGCCACCGACGTCGCGAGGACGTTCCTCATGGCGGTCGCGGGAGGGCTGCTGAAAGCAGGCGCGCGCTGACCAGAAATGGCTCCTCAGATCCGGGCGCTGCGACTTTCTTGCGCCGGGCGTTTCCGCCCGGTCTCGCCCCCCGGGGCCATCACAGGTCGGCCCGGCCTGGGGAATTTGCCGCAGCAGGGCTGGGTTCGGGGCCGCGGTGGTGACTCGTCGCGACGTGCTGCGTTGCTTCCGCAGCGCCGGATCCCGCGGTCTGCCGCCGTCGGGGCGACGGAGCCCGCGTTCGCAGCACTCGGGCCAAGCGGTCGGGTGCTACTGGAGGTACCCCGGGCCCGAGGTGCCCCCAGGATTCTCGGGGGGGCCCAGACGGCCTCCACGGGGCACCCCTCGCAAGGGCCAGAGGGCCCCGGAGGCTCCAGGAGGGCGCGAAGAGCCGAGGGCACCTTGGGCCGGGGGCACTTCTGGCAGCACCCGGAGCGGGCCCTGGAGGGAAAAGAGGAGGGGCTCTTCGGGCGCGCCGCGCCGGCGGCGGGGGCCGCCGCCTGACGGCTCGGGAGGAGAGCTGGCGGCTCCGGGGGGGGAGGACGTCCCAGATCTGATCAGGGGGGACAAAAACATACACAGACACAATTCATCGTCGATTCCCCAGAAAATATGGGAAGATATGGGAAGTGGGGGGGAGACGAGAACCCAGAAAATGTGGGAACTGATGGGGAGTACTGTCATTAATGACAGGACTCCCCATATGTTTCCACAGTTTCTATTTGTGTGTCCCAGGGCCCCTTCACCTAAGCCACGTGGGGCATCTGCAACCCAGTGCCCGGACCATCGTAGATCTGCACTGTCTGAGAGAGCCGCCCCTGCCCGCTCTTTCCCGCCTCTCCTCTTTTCTGCCCGCACACGATGTAGCTAAATAATCGGTGTGCGTGCCGCTGCTCCCGCAAAGCGGAGAGTTTAGGCCGGCATCGTTTTTTTTTGCGTGGGCAATGCCCAGACCCCCGACGTCGTGATTTGTTTTACATGTTTTACAACGTCGACCCCCACAGGTCTGGACCCCTCCCCAGCGACTGGTTGTTCATCCTGAGTCGTGTTTCGACGATCCCGAGGCCCAATGAGGGCCGCTGGAGGCCGCAGATAGCGAGAAACGTCCGTCGTGCTTTTTCCACGACGCGAGCAGGCCTGTGCTGTAAGCCAGGCTCGGCCAGATATATCCCACCTTGGCACCCGCTGATGACACCCCGAGCCCTTAGCATTAAGTCGGGCATATCCCCCTACAGGAGCAATATTCCAGAATGGTAAAAATTAGTGTTGGGACGATTTGCTCATGTTCTTTTGAATCGTTGATTTTAATTTGACCACGCTTCATTCCTCCAGAACCCGCCTGTAGGAGGACGTGCCCGACCTAGCCCGAGCCCCTTAGCAAGCCCGGGGCCGAGCCCAGGAGGGGACCCCTGCTATCAGACCTGCCCGCACCGCGAAGAAGAAGATCGCCACGCGCGGGTTTGGGGCCGTCGGCGGTTTCTCGTGGGGCCGCAGGACTGTCCACAGCACGGCTTGGGACGAGACACCTCGAGGATCGAGGCTTCCGGACGTTCTCATCGGTTCTTCGGCAGCCCTCCAGCAGCGGGGTGCCCTCCAGCAGCGGCGCCTCGCCGAGGGAGCTCTGGTGGTGCCTGGGCCGTCCGGCACGGCAGCCGGAGGCCTGCGTTACAGTCGGGGCGCTGAAGAAGGAACCCTTTCCGTTGGGGAGGGGCTCGATGTTCCTTGATTGCTCCACACCTTGCCTAAGGTTACCCTCCAGTTTTCGATGGGAAGTCGGCGTCTTACTCACGAAAAAAAGGGGCCTCTTGCCTTATTGAGGGTTCCTTTGGTCAACGCCTCGACGGTATGATCCGAAAACCGAGACCAGTCGGCGGCGAAATCCGAACCCTACCCTCGCCGAGGGGAAAGGGACCTGGGGGGCATGCAAATATCCTCGAAGAGCGGAAGACGGCATGTACGTGAGCTTTTGACGGTCTGCGGGGGTGTCTTGGATCTGCGCTGGGACCCCCCTGGTGGCGCCTCCGCCGCCGCCGCTGGCGCGCTCCCCGAGAGCCGGGGAGGGGGGTCCAGCGCAGATCCAAGAAGTCCGCGCGAACCGTCGGAAGTTCATGTTTGTGCACATTTTCTTTTTCTAAGCTTCGGACCTCTGGGGGCCATGCAAATATTCGGCCACGCGCAGAGGGGGCAGGTTCAGGGGGAGAAGGCTTCTTCGAAGGAGGCTGCTCCTTAGAAGGCGCGGGCCTCACCCATCGATGCGAGGCCCGCGCCTTTTAAGAACAGCCTCCTTCGCAGAAGCCTTCCCCCCTGCCCCATACCCCCCACCCCCTGCGCGCCGCCAAAACGTTGCAACAAACCCGCAGGACGTCCCAGGTCTGGGTCTCTTCCGCGGGCGGCTTTCCTTTTGCGGGGCCTTTCTTTTGAAGGGCGGGGGGGGGGCGGGGCGCGCTGGTCTCGTCGGCCGGAGCTCCGCCTCCTCCCCACGGGAGCGGGAGCCTCAACGAGTTCCCGAGGCTCGCCTCCCCCATCAGGCACGGGAGCAAGCAACGACATACAGTCGACCCGCATAGTAAGGATGAGCGACTTTCCGAGGGTGCCCTGGCATCTTTGCCCCTTCGGCCGGTCCTTAGCGACTTGCGCTGGCCAACCTCGCTAGAAAAAACGTTGACCTGGCCCTCCAAGGCCCTTGCATCCTAACCGCGCATCCTCGTTATACGGGTTGACTGTAGACGAGCTTTCGGGCACCTGGCGACGATGGGGGTCCATGCATCCCTTCCCTGCCTCAGACAGAGTAGCAATCAACGACACAAAAACATGAAAACTCGTAGGTCCGTGCGGATTCATCGGATCTGCGCTGAGGCCCCCTGGCGTCGCCCCCGGCGCCGCCCCTGGCGCGCGCACATCGCGCCGGGGGAGGGAGGTCCCAGCGCCTGCCCGAGACAGCTGCGCGGGCCTCTGAATCTTGATTCTATGTTTGTGTCGCTGCTTGCTTCTCTACCAGTCAGGGACAGGGGGGGTTGCATCGACCCCCCATCCTTGACCCCCTCGCGTTTTGAGCAAATCGCGACGAGAGGTGTTCGCTATTGTCGGCCTCCGGGGGCCTCTCCCGGGCCTCGGGGCCGTCAACAATCGGTGCAGGATGCATAACTTAGGAGGGGACAAAAACACACAGACACAATTAATCGGCGACCCCCAGGAAAATATGGGAAAACATGGGAAGTGGGGGGGAAGACAGAAATCCAGAAAAAATGGGAAGGTATGGAGGGTATTTGTATCTGTGTGTATTTATTTGTGTGTCCCAGTTCCCCTTCAATAACCCCTCCCAGGGCAGGGGCCCAGACCTCTCGGGGTCGACGCCGCGAAAAAAAAACACGACGTCGCGGGCCTGGGATCGCTCATCGGCCCACAGGGGCCCGATAGCCCGCCCCGCTCAGGCGCGATGGGATCCGCTGCCGTGGGCCTGTCGCCGATCGATCGGCGACATCGAGCGCCGATCCAGCGATCACAGGAGGAGGAGGAGGAGGAGGAGGAGGAGGAGGAGGAGGAGGAGGGGGAGGGGGAGGAGGAGGAGGAGGAGGAGGAGGAGGAGGAGGAGGAGGAGGGAAGGAGGAGGAGGTGGAGGAGAGGGAAGGAGGAAACCCCCCAACTATCCCAGATATCTGCCGAGATGACGTTCTCAATCCGCGGCCCCAGAGCTCCCGGCCCCCCTTCCCCGGGGGCAGTTCTCCGCCCCGGCCCGGGTCCGATCTTGATGGCCACGGGGCGCGAAGTCGGCCCCCCCCAGCGGCCGAAACATCGAGAGAGAGTAAAGAGGCGCCAGGATAACAGAGCAGAGCATACCGTCGGATACCTGGGAAGGCGTCTTCAAGAACTCCGCCTACGTCGACGCCATCTGCGCCTGGATCTTAGATGGTGTGCAAAACGCTGGGCCGTCTTTGGTTGCGAATTCAAGATCGATGTGCCTCCCGTATCGGCATCTGTTCTTTGCGCACTGGGACTCGCGCTCGCGCCGTTTTGGGGCTCGGCTCTGCTTTCGGTGCCGCCGCTCTGTTGTTTTGTGTCTCGGGGCAAGGCAGAGGGAACGCACACCCCGCGTTTCTGACCTCAGCTCAGGCCTGGATGATCGCCGGGTGCGTCACGCTGGGCTCCGTGTGGATGCTCGGTGCCGCCTGCAGGGGCCCGGACCAGCCGCCCGCGGGCTGGAAGGGCCGCGGCGCCCAGGGCGAGGCCTCCTACGGGGCCGCCTGAGCCACGCCAGGCTCGCCGGGTTGGAGGAAGGACGGGGGGGGGACTGCGTAATCGACTACACATGGTTGGTTTCTAATTCTTTGAATGGTCTATGATTTTTTGGGGGGCCAAGATCCTTTCATTTCTACTTGTTCCATCCTGGGCCTCTTCCTGGCCACCTAGGGGGGCCAGGAACAATTAGCAACGAGCACAATTAGAAATGAGCAAGATTAGAAATGAACGACGTGCACGCGTAAGACTGACCCCTCGCAGGAGTGACCTTTGGTGCGGGCCCAGCGAGGCCCTCCGATTGCCGAACGCGATGCGATGGTCGCGCCTTGCGCGCTCGTGCTTGGCCCCCCCGTGGCCCCCCCACAAGCCGCGCACCAAAGGTCACTCTTACCCAGTAAGGAGAGGGGAAGGTACAGTCGGGGCCCGGAAGAAGGAACCCTTTTCGTTGGGGAGGGGCTCCGCGTTCCTTAAGTGTTTCGCAGCTTGCCTCAGGTTTTCCTGATGTTTTCGACCGGAAATCGAACTTGAACTCATGGAAAAAAGGGGCCTCGTTCCTTATTTTGGGTTCCTTAGGTCAAGCCCCCGACTGTACCCAGACCTGTTCGCGCCACGAATACATGTAAATGCAGACTGAAGGTTGTGGCAGCCTCGACGGTGCTCTCCAGCAGCGGCGCCTCGCCGAGGGCGCCTTAGGGAGTGGCCCCGGCCCGCCCCGAGGGGTCGAGTCGTGGCCCAGAGCCCAGGCGTGCTCGCGCCGTGGAGGTGTTTGGCCCTTTCGGCCTCCGGGAGCCCTCGCCAGGCAGGAAAGAACTCCGAGTTACGTCGGGCGTGTCCCTCCACAGGAGGAATTCTCAAAACAGCCCAACAATAGTCAGGGGGCGATTTTTTAGAGGCGATTTCATTGTCGCTGGGTGCCTATGTTTGTAGCCTTCTCGCTCGGGCCATCTTCGAACATTCTTAACATCGGAAGCCCCCCTCAAGCAGGCCGCGACGTTGCGGTTCCAACACATGTTCTTCTTCAAATGTTTTGACCTCAAGCCTACACAACACATGGGATTTGACATGCTTCCTATACGACGTTTTGAATCTTACGTATCGAACTCCTGTTGAGCACGGTTCTTAGAAAAAGCAGTTTCGCCTGAGACCAACATCGAGCCCCGACGTACAACACACAGCACGCAGAACACACGCACACACATCACGCAGCACACCACACACAGCACACACAGAACAGACACAACACCTACAACACACAGACCACACACACAGTCAACGCGCCTAGTGAGGACGCGCGCCTTCATCTAGGTGCCATTGTGTCCTTGCCTCTACGACCCGTCCTTTGCCGTTTTCATTGGTCGCCCTCCGCCCGAAGAATCCAAACTTCGGCCTCCAAGGGTCTTGCGTCTTTGCCACCCGTCATTAATACACGGTTGAATTGTAACACGCACAGCAATTTACGCACATCACACACAGGACACCCATCACACGCAGCATACCCATGCAATGAACACACACAGCATACCCAACATACGCTACACACATGTAGCACACATAGCATACAAGTTCAACGAACATTTGCACATGTCACACAACACACAGCACACACACCACACACAAGACACATACGCACATACTTTCTACATTGCACAGTACACGCGCACACACATACGCACACACACACACACACTGTACCATGTGCTGTATGAGCTTGGGGACGCACGTGCGTCTTGTAGAATGCATTATGTAACATCTAAGTATGGCGCCATATCTAAATACGGATTGAAGACGCCTACTGCGAATCACCGCCGTCACTTGCCTTTTATATTACGTCTCTGTGGCCAAACGATTGGGCACCGGTTGGCCGCACTAGTGGACCGTGTGTTCCCCCAGCCATTGTGGAAGCCTTTCGGGGAACACGTGGGGGAGGAAACGGAGGATAAGGAAAGGCAGGAAAAAAAAGCATGAGGAGAAGGATGAGGAGACCTCGTGGGAGCTTCTTTGGTCATTCTAGGGGCCTGCCAGCTTCCTGAGGGCCTCTACGAAGCCTCTTGGGGACATCCTTTGGCCTCTTGGGTTCCTGGGGGCTCCTTTGGCCGTCTTGCGGAGTTCCTGGCCCGTCTGACGCCGTCGGAAGCAGTCTTGGGAGCCTCTCTGGGCCGTCTTGGGGCCCTCTTGGGGCGCTTGAGGTTCGTCGTCAATGCCATCTTGGGCGTCTTGGCGGCCACTTGGGCCATCTTGGGGCTCTTTGGGGCCGTCTTGGAAGGATCCTGGGCCGTGCTGGGGCCATCTTGGAGGCCTCTTGGGCGATCTTGGGGTAATCGTGGAAGCCTTGGCACGTCGGAAGGCCGTCGGAAGGCCATTTTGAAGCAAATGCCAACATCCATCAGGAACGCACGGACCATCAATGAATTCGGCTTCTTCGGGCCTTCTGGAGGACCTCTTGGACCAACCTCTTGGGCCGTCGTGGAGGCATCTTGGGAGCCTCTTGGGCCGTGTTGGGCCGTCTGGAGGCCATCTTAGGCAGTCTTGAATGCATATTGGACCGTCTTAGATACATCTGGCCGCAATCTTGGGCCTTAATGGGAACATCTTGGCCGTCTTAGAGCCCATCTTAGCCGTCTTGGATGCCATCTTGCATCTTGGATGGGGGAATCGACGGACTGTATACTGTACTGGGCTTTCCTGGTGGCCGGGGGGCTGGGCTGAGACACCATTGGGAATTCTACAAGAATCGAAAACCACAAAATCATCACGCCGTGCAACCCTGTAGCTAGCCACAGGGGGCGGCGGCTCGAATGGCTTTCGGTCCATCCCGCCCGTGCCTGGATTGTGGGTCAGAGTCCTTAGGAAAGCTTTTGGGGGTTTGTTTGGAGCGCTCTCGGGGGCCTCTTGGGGACAGGTTTGGGGCCTCTTGGGGGCAGTTTTCAGCACGCTTGGGGGCCTTGTGGGGGCCTCTCGGGAGCCTCTTGGGGCCTCTTGGAGGCCTCCTGGGGGCTTCTTGCGGCCTTCTTGGGGGTCTCTTGGGGGCCTCTTGGGGGTCTCTCGGGGTCTCGTTGGAGCCTCTTGGGGGCCTCTTGGGGGCCTCTTCTGGCCTCTTGGGACGTCTCGGAGGCCTCTTGGGCCGTTTTGGTGCCCTCTTGGGAGCCTCTTGAGCCGTCTTGGGGCGATCTTGGGGGCCTCTTCCGCCGTCTTGGAAAAGGGGAGAGAACCAACATCTTTCAAACTCCAAAACAAATCAATGGTTTATGCCTCCCGGATCCCCCTTGGGAGACCTCTTGGGGGCGGGGCCGTCTTGGGGACATTGTGGACAGTCTTGAGACCGTCTTGGGCGTCTTGGGGCGATCTTTCGGCGACTTGGGGCCCTCTTGAGACGTCTTGAGAGGCTCGTGAGGCCCTCCTGGGGCCGAACATGTCATCCAAAGAGCCGCGAGGCGCTCCAGGAGCCAAGCGGCGCGCCCTGGCCGATCTGGCAAGTTGGTCTCTGGGCCCCTCAAAGCATCCGCGGGATTGAAGGCGGAGGCTGCTGCTGTCCCGCTGCGCCCTGCCGCTGCGCTACTGCGCTCTGCCGCTGCCCTGCTGCCCCCACGCGCGCGCAACCTGGCGCGACGCCCACCGGGCCAGCTGGGGCAGGCGAACGCCGCCCTGTTCGACCAGAGGAAGGTGCTCGCCCAGCAGAAACGCGAGACCAACTGGAGGAGCGGGCGGAGACAGAGGGCTGAGGACCTGCTGCCCTGCTGCTGCCCTGCCGCGCCCTGCTGCTGCCCCGCCGCCCTTTTCTGCCCGTTCCTCCAGTTGGTCCTCAGGGCGCGGTGGCCGCCGCGGAGAAGCGCCTCGGGGCGCGGGGGGAGTGGCGGGGGCGCTTTGCCTGCGCGGTCGCGGACCGCGCCCCCGCAAGGGCGGCCAAGGTGTTGTGGCCCCCGGAGAAGCGCCCGCCGAAGCAAGCGCCGCGCTAGGTGCTGCTGCGGGCAGCATGCGGGGGCGCTTTGCCCGCCCCCCGCCGACGCCGGCGCGGAGCGAGAAAAGCAGTCCCGCCGCCCGCGCGAGCTGGGGTTGGCAGGGGCCGCCAGAGAAGGCGGAGGGGGCGGCGAGGGCGCGCGGGGGCGGGCCCGGGGGGGGGAGGGGAACGCGACCCCGCCGGGCAGCAGAGAGGGGCGACGCACGGCAACAACGACAACAACAACGACAACAACAATAATCATTTTAAGACTGTTCGCCCTTTATCTGCTCGAGTGTCCAATAACGCATATTTCCCAAACTCTCGAAACCCGCCCTCTTCGTCTTCGATCGAACCCGTTTTGGGGGGTAGACCTTGCTTCCCTGCAGGCCGGGCCCCGGCAAGCGGCGGGGCGGCCGCGGACCGTCGGCCTGGCCAGCGGCAGCGCTGATCGGCGGGGCGGCCGCGGACCGTCGACCCGACCCCAAGAGGGACGGACAGGGGACCGACCACGACGACGACGACGACGACGACGACGACGACGACGACGACGACGACGACGACGACGACGTCGAAGACGACGGCGACGACGACGACGACGGCGACGACGAGCGAAAGCGAGAGCGAGAGAGAACGACAGCAGGGCCACGAAGGGCACGAAGTAGGCCACGAAGGGCGACAGCGGGGACACGAAGGGAATGCGTATGGGGCCACGAAGAGCGCGAACGAGCGGGGGCCACGATGTGCAGATAATGCGGGGCCACAGAAGGCGCGACCCACCCGCGACCCACCCGCGACCACATTGCGACCCACCCCGAGACCCACCCGACCCAGCCGCGACCCACCCGCGACCCAACATCGACCCATCCGCGGCCCACCCGCGACCCAACCCGCGACCCACCCGCGACCCACCCGCGACCTACCCATATTGGTTTGACGCAAAAGTCGGCGACTGCTGCGGGCTCGTTGTATAATCCGTAAGAGCTTCGCCCCGCCGGCCCCCTGTCTCGGATAATGGGAGATGCATCGGGACCTGTTTGTTTTTCGACTCTGACCCTACGGATCTGCGTCGCGG